GTAATTAGCACTTTCCTCCAGGAAACAAATGCAGCCAGAGAAATGCAAAAGATCAAATCTTTTTTATCAGCCTTGCTTTCTGACTGCCTGCACGAGTGTCTACACACGTTGACATGCAGATGGCAGTGCCTGGGAGTGCTATGGTGCTAATTTCCCTGGTGTGGCATTACCCAGAGACATCAAGCTGTCAGCATTCAGATGGCAGAAGAAGTGAAGCACCAGAGATTTTGTTTGGCTTCTATCTGACCAATTTTGTTCCCCCTTGTTGTTTTATTTCTCCCATTGCTGTCCCAAACAGGAGGCATGATCTCTGATGAGAAACCAATAGGGTGCAGACCCACTTTGTTAAGCTTGTGTCACACGTGTAAGATGACACGAGACACTGCAGAGCAGCTAAAATGCCCCCCTGGCTAAGAGCAGCTTGGAAATGCTGAGAACAGCAAAGCTGGTATTTGCTGATGAGAAGAGAGAATTTTGGGTGGTGCCTCAACTTGGAGTTAATTTCACAGATGTTAAAGACAGGTGTCCTGCTGCTGTCTCTTGTCATTCTTGTGTACTGCACAAGTGGAAGAGGGTTTCTCTCAGGTCTGTGAATGTTGCATCTGTACAGGATTGGAACAACCTGTTTTCCGTGCAGGCTTTTTGTGAGGGTTTGGCCAGAGGCTGTATCTGCTTTGTGTGCTAAAGCAAGAGAGAGAAACCAAATAATGCAGGAGAGATTCAGAAACATTGGCCTGGAGAAGGATCCTTGCTTCAAGTGTGAGGTGATGGGGTATGTCTGCTGGAAGGGCTGGGTCTGTTCCTAGACTGGCAAATGCCTGTTGGGATGGGAAAAGGTGACCCACAGCTGCAGGGACAGGCACAGCTCAGGTCTCTGTTGGAGTCTTGGAACTAAGGAGTCTCCTCTCTGGGCTCACCCAGTTTGGGCTTCACCCCTGCTCCCTGACAGAGCCAGTGGGGCTGTTCCCCTCTGTCCCCTGCCTGATTTATTGACAGGGTCAGTTCTGAGTCCACACGTCACAGTGCCCACACAGTCCCCTGCACAACAGGCACCCTCAGTTGTCACACTCCAGCAGCCTGGGGACACTCCCTCAACCCAAACACCAGCACACAAAGGCTGCTGACTTGGGCTGCCCTGCTCCTCGGGGCGTGCTCAGAAACCACAGGCTGCAAACCTGGTGAAATATGGAACAATGACCTCTCACGACAAAGTAATTGGGTGATTTATAATACCTGACTATTTTACTTGACTTCAGAAATCAGGGCAGCTTGGGCATGCCAGAGAGAAGAGCAGAAAATGAGATAGTGCAGTAATTTCTGTCTCTTATCTTAGGACTTGTCCTCAGATTCAAATCCTGGGACTCCAGACTCTGTCCTAGGAGGGGTGACCCACCTGTCATCTGGCCCAGGGTGGATGAGCTGCATTCCAGGCTGTGTAAGAAGAGAGTGGCTTTCAAGTTGAACCTCCCTTGATAATCAACATCTCGGTGTGTGCTGATAGAGATCACACGGTGCAGTTTGTTCCAGCCCCGTGCTCAGCCTGGTCCTTGCAGCACTGCCTGCCTCGCAGCTGCTCTGCATCCTGCAGCTGCAACTCAACAGGAGAGGGATTCTTAACTCTTTGTCATTGTAAAGCACTTTGGGATGGATGGTGCTGCTTCAATGTAAGGTTATGATTGGGCATTAATCTGCACTGAAGTAATGAAGAATATTTAAATGTGCTTTTCCTAGTAAGTCTTATTTAATGCGAAGGGCAAACAATTTATCATTGTCTTGCCATGACTTTCTCCTACCATCCAGCTACTGCTGTGCATTGCAGATGATGCATTGCAGGAGAGAAAATGGTTGACCATTGATGACAGCCTGATTCCACGGGCCCCTGTGGTTTAAATATCAAATCAAAGTGATTTATCCTCAGTGGCTTTTGGAATTCTGCTTTCAAATGTTTCCACCCAAACAAGTCTGTGACCCTGAACCTACAAGTCTAGGTTGCACAGTCCCCTGTGGCTGCAGAGCTGCTGGAAGGGGCCCAGGACCTGGGGTGACCACCAGGCTCTGTGGCAGCTGCAGCACCAGGGACACTGGCAGTGTCAAGAGACTTGGGAAGTCTTGTGGAAGCACTGACTGAGTCTGAAATCTAAGGCCTTTTGCCTGGTGCTCAGTCCCTTCCGAATAAAACCAGATCCCATTAGAAGTGCTAAAGTTCTTTAATTGATTGCCTTGTGCACCTTAATGAGCAGAAGAGACAGGCTTTAGGACTGGGGTCTTGTTTTCCAGCTTTGTGCTCTGCTTTTGGTTTCATTGCACAGCAAAGGTCCTGTAAAATTTCACTGTAAAATCTTTACTGGAGACTCCAACAGCTGCCCAGCTTTTCTGTCAGACTTAGCATAGATCCGTTGGAAGCTGAATCCTGCTGATCCATCCCTTCTGAAGTTGTCTGTCTTCATCTTCAGCAATATTACACCCAATGCCTTGCAACCCTCACCTTCCAAATGGTCCACAATGGATTCCAGGGTTGTGCTGGTACCTTCTATGTTGAAGAGTATGGAGAGCACAAAAAAACCCATAAAGACCTGAGCTGTTCTGTTTCAAACAAAGCTTTGGGTGGGGTGAAGAACTTGGGAGCATTATCTAGTGGGAGGTGTCCCTCTCTATGCTGGGGGGGTTGGAACTAGATGATTGTAAAGGTCCCTTTCAACTCAAACCATTGTGTGATTGTATGAAATATTGATCTGGTTTTATGCCAGCTGTTTAGTGTTAGATATATTTATCAGCCTGGGAAGTATTTCCCTGCACAGAGTGATCCTTGGAAACTTAACCCAAAACATTAGGGCCCCATGAATAGGGAGCAGAGGCTTTACCACAGACTGCTTAGTCAGTTCTCTTTAATTTGAGATATCTAGGGCTTCTCTGCTTTCTATGATTAGTTTGTTTGGTAACATTCATGCCAGCTGGAGCAACAGATGATGTTTGTTTACCATGTATATAATACATACAACTTCTTTATCCTCAGAAAGAAAGAACTGAACTTGCTTAGAAGTTGGCTCATGTTTAATTTCAAGATGATGGAGGTGAACTCGCTCCAACAGGCCTGTGCAATTAAAGCAGCTCCTAGTAGAACTTCCAGTTCTAGGTGTATGAGCAAATAGGGAGCAGAACCAGAATTATTGACTTGATGGGAAGAAATTCTAGTCCTGTGGGAGAGCAGCCCTGCAGTCAGCTCTGCCACTGCCCCAGAGTTGGCTCAGAATTGTGAAGGTTATAAATGGTGAGTGTTGAATTTGCCACAAAGCAGAATTCTATTACTGGGAATTTTATTTGAACTATTGTGCTACTTAAAACTAATCAGATGTATTTTTAGCTTGTGATTTCTGTTGGAAAAGCCTTTGTGTGAGATATCTCCTTACCAGCTTAATGCTGTAGTCACAACATGATCAGAGTCATGCAGTGCAGGAAACTGGCAAAAAAAATGGGATGCTGTGTTGTGGAAGAGTTAACTGACTGAACACCTTTAAGACTGAGAAACTGTCAGCCTAAAAAGGAGGTGATTTTCCTGTGGTTTCTCAAAATCATAAAAGTTAGAACCTAATTACTCAACTAGTTCAATACAAGTAAAAGATGCTATTTCATTGTTCTGGTTATCTAGTATCCTTACACATCCACACTGATTACAGCCCAGAAGACTCTGCAATCCAAAACTCATATTTAATGAGCAGACATAACACAGGAAGCCAAAACAAGACACACATGGACACATATATATACACCAATATACATTTAAACAATGGAGAAGAGGTAGAACTGTTAATTAGGAAATGCATAACGTGCAGTAAGAACACCAAGACACCAAGTGACACCAAGACATGAAGACACCAAGAGGTGCCTTCATGGCACCTCTGCCAAGTACCACACGAGGCTGTAGAATGATTTATTCAGCATCAAACCAAATTTTTAAAGTACTTTTGTTCTCTTCTATGACTGTACCTTGGATTTTCTACAAGTGATCCTTCGGGTGACTAGCTGAAGGGGGCAGTATTTAGTTCCTAAATACTGTGGCTGGAACTACTGGGGTAATGAGCTTTGAAGTCATCACTTCTTCCAGGAACCGGATGGTCTGCATGCCCCAGGATGCAAGGTGGGCATGAACAGCAAATACTGAACCTGATTGCTTTTTTCTTTCTCTAAAAAAGACCCAGTCAGGTGACTGAGTTCTGTCTTGGAGGGATGTCTACCCTATAAGGAGAAAAAAATAACACACAAAAGTAGGATTTCATTGTTGGCCTTAAGAAAAACTCCAGTGTAATCTGGAAGTTCTCTGAGCCATTACAGAACTACTGTATTTTATCAGGGGGGAAAAAAAACAGCTTGATCTCCACAGAAACGGGATCCTGTAAGTGCTGAAAGATGGAGATGAGAAGACTCTGCTCCACAGTCAGGAGCATCCCAGTATGTCTCAGATGCTCAATGAGGTGAAGAGCAGGAGAGCCAGATCCTAGAGCCAAACCTCCAGTACTTCAAGCCACTTGTTCAGCAACTCTGTGTACTCAGAGTAGAAGCTCCAGGTCCATGTGACCACAAAAGCAGAGTTATTCTAGAGCTTCATCACCCAGCCTGTCTCTTCAGATTTTTAAGAAACTGGCAGCAACTGAGACTGCTCTGTGAATACTCTTTGAGGAAAGAAGAAAAGATGCAGTTAAAGAAGGATTATCAACTGTTGAGACTTAAATGGAAAACCAAAGCAGACCTAGACCTCAGTAAATGCACCTTCCAGCTGCATTTCCAGGTCTAACCAAGGCACTTCTCCAGTCAGATTTAAGAGTCCAGGGAAGGTTACAGTGAAAGAGGAAGATGATACACTCCTTTTTTTTTGGACTGTTTTCCAGATTTCTTGGTTTTCTGTATTGTTTAAGCTCTAGGCCAGCAGTGAAAAAAGAATAATCCAAAGCAAACAGCAAGGCAATGATTCTGGGAAAGATCCTGGATTATTCTGTCAGTAACACTCATCTGATATACTCCTCCTCAGAGATGCAGGATGTATCTTCATCTGTGCTTTCTTCCAAATCTGGCAAGTTGCCCCAGAGCAAAACGTTCACACCTGGTGGGAAGGAGGTGAGGAGACAAAGGAGAAGGGAAATTTAAAAAAAGGTGGGTTTGGATTGTGACCTTATTTTCAAGTTGCACAACTGTCTTTTTTTCAGAGAAAATTACTAATCATTGCAAAACCTGGTAAGTCCTGTTCATGATAAAGATACTGAGACTACTTCCTATTTTTCTTTCAAAATGTTCTTTTAAGTGTCATTGTTTACAGCACAGTTCAAGGAAGAAGTGCCTGCCCACAGATGTATTTATATAGCTAATTCCTGTAGCTATTGATAATCCCCTCATGGCTGATTTATTTTTAAAGGCATTGCTCTGAGTGCAGGTGCCACTGACAGGTTTAGGCAGTAAGTTACTTCCATCTGCAAGGAGAAGTGACTTGTCAGAATGTTATGCACTCCAGAGGACTCCAGGCAAGTTACATGAGACACTTGGCACCCAAACAACACCTAGCTGAGGAAACTGGCCAGCAGGAGCTGGAAATTCAGCTTGAGCTAATGAGGACTCAGTTATATAGGGTCAAAGTGACACCATGACTCACCCCAAAAGAGTGCCCATTGGACAGCTGCCTAACAGCCCAGGAGAGCTTTACCTTCTGCTATAAATAGCAGCTGGTGCCTGTGTTTGTACTGGTTATTGCTTTAGAAAATCCTGACTTCTGTCCACAAAAGGGGTAGGTTAATTTTTCTGATGAAGATAAATCTCCACTCGGAAATGTTCCTTTACAAAGTAGCTCCAACCACCTCCCCCCGAGCAGTTTGCTGGATCAGCAGAGCAGTAACACTTGCCTTCTGCCTCCATATGTTACATTCCCTCCATATGCTGCAACTATATGGAGAGGCCTCGTTAGGAGGAGGACTTGGAATTCAAGATTTTAGGGAAGAGGAGGATGTGTTCCTTACCAGAAGGGTCTAGTCTGTTGATGCCAAAGACTGCTTGGCTGTAAAACATCCAGAGGTGGCCGTTGTTGCAGGAGAGCAGGCAGGGTTTGCAGGGAGAAATGACATGATAACCCACAACGTTGCCACTAGAAAGACAAGTGACATCATGAGCAACACAAATGCCTGAGGAAAAGAGAACATTGGCTTTTCCAGCTCAAATTGATGTTAAATAACCACAGCACCAGACCACTATGTAATGCTCCTATTTTGATCAAGTTAAGGGAACATAGTTAAACAAGCATCTTAAATATTCAGGGAACATCTGCCAGGAGTTGCAGAATATCTGAGTGTTAGATCTTTGGCACAGAGAACTATTTAGTAACCTAAATTGTGTAATGCAGAGTAGTTTATATACCAACAAATGGTGGTGTGTGTTTTTGTTTGTTTTTTTGTGGAAGGCCCATGATTCCATTGGAATCAATGTAGGAGTTCATCACACACACACACAAAATCCACCTGTACAGAAGCATGTGCAGGGGAGAGGATCAGTAGTAGGAGTAATGAGACTGAGAACATCAAAGCCTCATCTACTCTACTAGTTTGAAACCTACAACCACCAATTTTCTACTTTCTGAGTCATTTCTATTTCTCTACTTCTGTCTAAAAACCAAAATACTGTGTTTCTATCAACCCCCCACCCACTGCTGGCATCTGAACAAGGTTTAAGTTTTGATGGTAAAGCTGAAAGGATAATCTCAAATAACTGGGAGCTATCTGAGAGTTGTTTTTATTCTTAAATATTAAGCATTAGTAAAGAAGATAAAAGAACTCCAAGAACTTCAGTGACAACATGTTCCATCTGCTAGCAACAAGGAGCTCTGCCAAGAGGATGTTCTATCAATTAGAATATGAGTAACTGCTTCTTACTGTGGCCTTATTCACACAATTATCTCAGTGTTGGAGCAGACATTTAATCAGGCAGGTGACATGCAAGAGTTCCTATATACTCAGACAACTGACAAGGTTGTCACATTCTCACTGGGGACCTGCACAGAAACAGCCTGGCAGCCCTGCCCAGGAGCAGGGGGCTGAGTTTCCATCAAGCAGCATTAAATCTGAACTGGAGTGTGCAAAGTGCAGTGTGCAATCTGCTCCTTCATCCCTGAACTCCTGCCTGGCAGCAAGAAGGTGAGGGTGTCGTGGTGTGTGTGAGGGGGTGTGGGTGTCACTGGGGGGTGTTCTTACCACTTCAAACATGCAATGTTCTTCAGTTTGCATTTGCAGATCTCAGTAAAATAGCAGCTCCCGATGAAATCAACAGTCCTGGGTGGGAAGAAGGTAAAAATACACAAGTTTAGGTGTGGCTGTGATTACAACTGCAACGTTATGATAATAAAGGTCTGAAGTCACAACAAAGTGATGTTACAGTTTCAGTCTTGTATGTTTTTTAAATGTTCCCAGGACCGCAGGTTTCAAGCTCCCTCTCAGCCAGGAGCTGTACTCAGATGGAAACAGAAAGAGACCCACGAGGTGTTACATGAACCTCTTCTGAGTCCTCTCACAGCAGAGCAGAAAGCCCTGCTGCTCCTGGCACTGACACCTGCAGGCCCTGCCAGTCAGGAAGCTGATCACGGACCCAGCTCCTGGCAGCTCTCAGCAGAGATTACAGAACAGCTTAAAGGCTCGGGCATTTAAAACCCAACCTTTGATTCCTTATCTCCTTTTTAACCCCTGCTTTCTCATTAAGGTCTCGTTTTGCAATCTGATTTCCCTTCGCATTCAAATGCTGTTGTGGGAAAGCCAGGAGCAGGCCCTGCTGCTGCCAGCGCAGGAGCAGGTTTGTTCTGTTGACAGTTGGTTGTTCCCAATCCTAATCCTTGCTGAGGAAAGAAGCTGGGGGAGCTCCCTGTGCCTTCCAGGCCTCACAGAGTGATTCAACCAGACTCCTGCTTTGCCAGACGAGGGGCAGCCCGGCTGCCCGTCCTGCCATGCCCCTCCTGGGGCTG